AAAAAAAGAATTGAATTTACTAAGATAGTGAAAATGTTCTGCTATATTAAGCCACGTTTTGACCGTATGCATTTGTTATGTGGGGGGTTTATTTGTTAGTTTTTGCAACAGGAGCCAAACCTGAAAGATAAAATGGTTGCAACAGTTTTAATCGGACACTGCTGCCCTCTAGTGACTACCTAGGACAAGAAATTGGGGAAGAGCATTGGCTGCAAAAGGTTTCTTTGCTCTCAAGATGTAGGTGATCAGTTGGATATCATCGAACTATGACAAATTTTATGAGAGTGAAATCTTAGTTAACCTTAGCCTTAAAATATCATTTCAGTAAACAAATCATTTGAATTTAAATAAATAAATATTTCTACAAGTTGAATGTGTAGTGCAATAAACGATCACAGACTACAATCAGCAATACTTTTGTGTTGCACTAAAATAGTGTATGACAAGCAATTCAGAAAAATTACAGCTGAAAACAAGGAAACTATATCACATGACAATTAGTTCAAAGAACAAATTGATCTAATTTATCTAGGAAACTTTTCATGTATGGGACAGTGTTTACACTACTGGGGACTTTCACAATAAACAGTGTCAGACACTTCAACAAAAAGCAATGTAAATCATAAATGTGCACCATTACCTTCATTCCATAAATTGCACACATGCAGAACTGCCCAACGTTTCAGTGTCAGTAAATGACTACTATAGGGTTTGCTAAAAATTCAGATTTATTTTCTTTTGACAAAATGTGTATTTTATGGTAGACCTGTTGTTTGATAGTCCCTAATACTGTAGTTCCAACTTTCCAATATTTTGTGACTAGTTTTTTTGTTTACCTTACAGGTTTGCATTCTGATGGGACCTTGCCCATCTTGCAAAAAATGATGAAAATTGTACCCTTTGATGCAGTTTCTGGATGCAAAATCTCAAACCTATTTGTTTCACAAGGAAACAAATATGGGAGTTTTTTATGGGGAATATGATCAGAGAACATGGCCACGACTTAAAGATCAAAAAAACCACTAAAATAAAAGCTAGGCAACTCCAGAACTTGCAAGCAGAACAGTAAAGTTTTTTTGCCTGTGTTGTGTTTTTGGTCTTCAAATATTTGATTACATTTTTTGGATAAATAACTTTTCTTCAAAAAGAAAATATTTTCACCGTTTGGAGTTTAAATTAATCTAAAACATTTCACTGAATTGGTAACTTCTGGTTTTACTTGCATCACTTACACAGTTTAATGCAGCATCATCTGCTCTCTTAGGCCTAGTTTTAGTTTGACATCATTCACAAAGCTAATTTACTCCATTATTTTATCTTAGAATGTGCATCTATTTGGTATATAGAGGTTAAGTGAGTTTGTTTTGTGAAATCAGGGCAAATCTCAGGCACTTTGACTGATTTATTTGATAAAGGGAATTTTTCTTATAAATTTACTGAAAAATGCTGGAAGATTTTCACCATCCACTTCAATTACAGTTATCTCTCTAAAACTATGTTTGTGACATGAAAAAAACCAATTTCCTAAGAACTACAAGTAGGAGATCTCTACAGGAATGGATACAGTTTTAGAATGGAAACCTATTTTCAGGAAAAAACAAACAAACATGAGGCAGTCAGTATTGCGGGTTAAATATAGTAGCTTTGGTCTTTTTTCCCTGTATCTTAAATTTTGTCAGTGATCTTTCATTCTGGTGCAAACACCTCAAAATTTTTTCCTCATGGAAATTCTCGGTTGTTGCTGGGGAGCAGGAAAAATAAGCAACTCATAAGGAGTATTTTCTCCGTTCTTTTAGGGATTCTATCCTTGATTCCATCTTTGATTTCTTTTTAATTTTATATAAGATTTTTTAAAAGACATTTTTCAAAACAAAAACAATAGCAAGTTCTTAGCAAATCTGTGATTATTTGCAGAAAGTAACAGAAAAGTGTAAACATAAAACTACAAGTGTGTATTTTTAGTTGCAGTAAGATCAACTTTTGTTGCTGCACATGTAATTTTCCTTGGAGAACTGCCAAGGAGAAGATCAAAGTTTCACTCCCAGCCTAGAAACAAAAAAGATACACAGTGTACTGCTAGCCAATGTCACTCTAGACTCATCTCATCAAGGAGCTCAAGGTGTGAAAACTTTGCAAGGGCAGATGCCAGCACTCAGGAAAGCAGCAGCTGTTCCATGTGACCACAGTTCTGCCACTAAAGCTAGGAACTAACTTAATCTGATACCTTTTTAGGTTGTTCTCAACTACCTTGCTTTTTATGAAATGGAATATACTCAGTATTTTGAGTATTGCGCTAGTTAAGAATCTATGGCTAAGAAGATATCAGATAACAAAGTGCTTTTAAATTCCTATAGTATGAAAATGGATGGCTAGGATTCCAAGAGTGGTGATGAATGGAGTTACTTGCAGTTGGTGATCAGTCATGAAGGCTCAGTATTGGGGCCAGTCCTGTTTACCATCTTTATCAACGACCACAAGTGGATCAACTGCCCCTTCAAGTCAGTTTGCAGACAATACCAGGTCAGACAGGAGTGTTGATCTGCTGGAGGGTAGGAAGGCTCTGTAGAGGGATCTGGACAGTACAGTGGGCCAAGGCTAATTGTATGAGCTTCAACAAGATAAAGTGCCAGGTCCTGCCCTTTGGTCACAACAACTTCATGCAGCACTGTTAGACATCAGATCAGTAATTATTGGGTCAGAACGACCTTGTGAGGACTGCATGTGTGCGTATGTGTGTGTATATGTGTGGAGGGAGAAGGGACAGGTCAAACCTCACAGACGTGGGGTGGCATTGTACGCCTCATGGCAGACCCCTGGAGCTCACATGGGGAAGGCCTGGAGTAGCTGTCAGACACAAGCAGACTGGGAAAACTATGAGACACCACACCTCCTGGAGCCCCTAAGCCAGCCTCATATTGGCAGGGACAGTGAGGACACTGCCCCTCACCCTGGCTTAGAACCCCAGAGTGGCTGGTGGGTCAGAGGCCCCACCAAGCAGGTTTGCCATAAGGACCAGAGCAGATAAAACTGAAGGCATATATTTGCCACATGTCATGGCCCTGCTGCTTGGACGTGTGAGAGCTGGTCTTCCACAAGGTTCCAATGGTAGCTATATAATCTGACTCTCCCTCTTTCTCCTTCTCTCTTCTTACTCCCTCTGCTTCTCTTTCTTTGCTCCTTTCTTGATGCTTTGGGTGGCTTGGAGCTGGAGGGACTGGATATTGACTTAAGTGTTGTAGATTGATTAGATCTTGACTTATGTGTTGTGGATTAATATCTGCTGAGTCACTATTGTGGTGGAACATTTTTGTCTAGCTTGTGTACTGCCCCTTTTGAACCTTTGCCAAGTTCACTTAATTTTTCCCCTAAATTAATAAAGACACATCTTGGGAACAAGTCTGTTGCTTATGCTCTTAATGCCATCTTAAGGAATTAAAAAACTGTATATATGTATGTGCACATATATATATACATATATATATACATATATATATATATGTGTGTGTGTGTACTTTTTTTTTTTTTTAAAGTAGAACTTCCAGCTAAGCCTGTGAGCCTGCAGCTCCAGGGCTGAAGTGTTACAAGCACTACAGGCTTGGGGAAGAAAGGCTGGAAAGCTGTCTGTTGAAAAAGGAACTGGGGGTGCTGGCTGACAGTTGGCTGAACACGAGCCAGGTTGTGCCCAGGTGGACAAGAAGGCCAATGGCATCCTGGCCTGTATCTGACATAGCATGGTCAGCAGGACCAGGGAAGTGATTATGCCCCCTGTAGTCGGCCCTGATGAAGCCACACCTCAAATCCTGTGTTCAGGTTTGGGCCCTCATGGTAAGAAAGACACTGCGGTGCTGGAGCGTGTCCACAGAAGGCCAATGAAGCTGGTGGAGGGTCTGGAGCACAAGTCCGGTGAGGATTGGCTGAGGGAGCTGGGGTTGTTTAGCCTGGAGAAAAGGAGCTTCACAGGAGACCTTATCACTCTCTAGAACTACCTGAAAGATTGTAGCCAGGTGGGGGTCGGTCCCTTTTCCCAAGTAACAAGGACAGGATGAGAGGATATGGCCACAAGTTGCTCCAGGGGAGGTTTACACAATGTCAGGAAAAATTTCTTCACTCGAAGGGTTCTCATGCATTGGCTGCCCAGGGAATTGGTTAAGTCACCATCTCTAGAGATATTTAAAACACATGTAGTTGTGGCAACTATGGACATGGTTTAGTGGTAGACCTGGAAATGTTACGTTGATGGATGGACTCATTCTTGGAGGTCTATTCCAACATTTATGATTCTGTGATTCTATGGTAAAATTTAAATTGGCCAATTTTACCTGAAGCAGCTTTTAATTTCCATTATGGGGCATTTTTTTTTCTTTGATATATGGACCTTTAAGTATTTTAATTTGATGTCTAAAGCCCTGTGTAAAGCATATTTGCAATAAGCTGGTTATTTTTGGGTACTTTCTTTCTTTTCTTTCTTACCTGACCAATATCACATACTAGTGGTTGGAGACAGAGTGGCAAAAGCATCTCTGGAAACAGATACAGCAGCAAAATTTCAAGACTTTTTCAGAAAACACAGTGAGGGACATCTCCCAGGCCAGATCTAAGCTGATGACTGTTCATTGAGGCTAAAAATTTGGAGGCAGCTAGATACCAGTGGTTGGTTGCATCACTCTTGTATGCAGCTGGCTGCAGAAACTGGTGAACCATAACAACATTAAGCTGACAGGTCACAGATGCTATGCTGGATTGCCGCTCATGAGCATTGACAAAAAGAAAATACACTGAAGAAAAACGGCTATTGAAATGCATTTTATTATACAGCAATTTGTAATACAGGAAAGATGTAGTTTTTAAACAACTACATATATAAAATTACAGTAAATGCAGTGATCAGTAGATTTAAGGAGCAGCAAACTGCATGAACACTAGTTTTACTTGTAAACAGTATAAAATTTAAAGGAACATTTCACTATTTAGAGCCTTATTTATATAATATAAATACTTCTTTAAAAGATGATCATGCAATGGGCACAATTTCTTCCTCATACTAGTATGAAAACACACTTTTATTTTGCATACTTCATGGTCAGTGGGAAACCTTCACAAATTGGTTTTGTTTGTTACTCAGACACTTAATGACTAATTTCCTATCAGTCCAGCTATCTGGAGCCATAACTGAAGGAGTATAAACTGTAGAAAAAGGACCTCCTCTTGGTACAAACTCAGTAACACATTCACATATACATTTCACATATCAACTTCTCTCAAAAAATTAATAACGGTGAATATAGATATTACCAGTCCTAAGGATATCAATAAGAAAGGATTAGGACTCACAGTAATATAGTGGAAGAGAAGTAATAAAATAGCCGACGCTGTAAAAAGCTTCTCTAACACATAAGTAGCCCAGACAGGGTCAGAGGGATAGCATTACACGCCATATCAAGTCTATCAGAGGTAGTGGTAAAAGGGCATTTGAACTGTACTTGAAATATTGATTCATTTTTATAATTATCTAAAACAGCCAGAAACATCTTGGAAATATGTTTCTTTTAAACACAATGAAGTGCCTTGACTATATGAATATATTTGTCCCTTTGGTTTAAGAATTAGGGATCTTTAACTGTAGCGTTTTTCCCTAAAACATTGCCTAGCACTGCTGTAGAGCAGTGGATTGAGGAAAAAAAGAAAACCACTTTAAAGGATCTATATATGGATTGCTTGCACTAGCACAGAACCTATTACTTTATTTGGGGATCTACATGTATGCACATTTGGGGATCTACATGTAGGCACATCTACATGACGGTCCTTGCAGGAGTGGCCCATAGATATTTTCCTTGAAGTACATTTTAACATGCCATAGAGATTTATAACAGTAATTTTTCCCTAAAATTATAGAGGATTTTGTAGTCAATACAAAAGTAGTTACTTACACAGAAAAATACTTAAGGCATATAAGGCCATAACTGTAGTAAGAAGCTGCAGCTTGTCTTATCAAGACAAATATATGCTCAACAGGCACAAAGTGGTTACAAGAACTTATGTGATCAAAACATTTTTATGAGTGTCTCACAGAAATGATTGCCTAAGAAATGTGTACTACATTACAATTAAAAAGGGTCAAAAAACCCAATATAAAACAATGCTTCCACATGAACTGAATAGAAATAATTTAGTTACAGATTATGAGGACAAATATGAAAAACCTTTCCTTTTCAAATAAATACATGTACTAAGGGAGCACAGCCACTAACTGAAAAAATAACTTTGTGCAATTAAATTAACAGTTCTTCCGTACTGAACAAAACCATAAAAACATTCAAAGGACAATAGTGCAATCATGTCAGAGCCTAAAGCTGATGTATGCCATTTTACGCTCAGGCTGAAGGCAAGGTAGCCCTTCAAAGCAAAACAACGCAAAAATTTGTGCATTGTATAAATATGTGCTTTAATTTCTAAATTTAAATATGTTTCCAAGTTTTTTTGCTTTAACATGAATTCAATGTGTTATTATGTGAACACTAAAGACATGATGGAGCTGATCATCACGGGATTTCCAAAACCAGTTCCAACTGAGCTATAGCTATATCCCCATTTGGTAGTGCCTCCTAAGTCTTCTAAACATTGATTTAATTCAAGGTAAAACTTTGTTATAGTTAACAGTTTTCAACCCTGAATCTTATTTAAAAAACAACACTGTTTCAAATTAAAGTTGCTTTACAAAAACATTACAGAGCTTAAAAAAGGAACTCAGGTTATATAATTTGGCTAAATAACACAAGATAGATTTTGGTCATTAAAATACATGAAAAAAAAAGTACCCAAAATATCAATGGCCTAATCCTGCAGAGACAGAAAAACGGGTGTGAAGGCAGGTCCCTGAATTCACATCCTTCAAAAAGCCTCTCTACAGGCATGGACATTAACATGGCACTCTCAGTATGATAAAAATATTAGATATGAAAGCAATTACTACACATGCACATATGCTGCTAATTCTAGGATGTGGAACTCACATTTGCAAGAGGTTGCAAGAGGTTGTCCTGATGTTCTTACACTAGTCAAGAGAACAATAAGGGTGATCTACAGATACCAAAAGGGTGAGTCATCAAGATTGCAGTTAAACTCTTCTTAGTAGGAGACAATATAATGAGGGGAAACTGCTACTAATTTGTAGCCACTTGGGAAACTGAGGTTGGACATGGAGAGAAATGTTCATCCAGAAGGGGAGAGCAACCATGGGAACAGGTTGCCCAGAACAGTGACAGTATCTCTGTCCTGGGAGATTTTCAGAGCCTAGATAGCCAAACCTACAGTTAACCTGATCTAGGGCTGGTAAAAGTCCATCTCTGCTTGGGACGTTGTACAAAACCAATTCCAAAAATTCTTTCTGCAAACAACTTGATGTGATTCTCTGTATTCAACCAAAATGCTTTGCTCATGTAGGTATGTCAACAAGGTTGAGGAAAGTGTATTTCATCTCATTTACTGCAGGCCAACACCACAGAGCTAGTCAAACACAGTAGCTCAGGACAGACACAAAGAACAGTGAGCCTCAGTTTAAGCCCTAGAGTTAACAAGAGGTAACAACACTGAAGGAGAAATATTTTGGAATGTAAGTAACAGCTTATATTAAAAGGCTGTGACCTCTATCAAGTTGAGAAACCTCGCTGGGGGATTGTCCAAGGAACTCTCCCTTTTATTCAAATACAAGTTTTAGTTAGCTCCTCTGTCTCTTGGCTATCTTTGAGGGTCTTAGTACCTGGATTTTTCAGAATAAATGGGGGCTCTTGTCCAGGATTGACTCCACCCTCCAAGGGCAGGGGCTCATGAATGGAGCTGAAGACGCTGCATCAACAGTTTTGGTGATCAGTTGCTTTCACTAGAGGCTAAAATGAGACGGGTGATTGGGTTCCCAAGGCTATCCAGAGACAGACGAGAGAGGACAATAGGATAAAGGAACATTTGTTTTGACTTGGAAAGGAGTCAGGGAAAAGACTGAGACATCTCACCCAATGAGTAACGGGAACTGAGGGAAGTAAAAAGAGAGGGCCTAGAGACAGTAAAAAGCCAGGTAAGGGATCTGGCAGAAAGGGCGACGACCCTTGTATACTCCCACACAGTCCCTTGGGTAAAATGCTGGCATTTTGGGACAGTATAAATTCACCAGAAGGGGTGACTAAGGAATTAATGGTAAAATACTGTTGTTTTCACTGGCCAAAGTACTCACTACCTCGTGGGTTTAGGTGGCCGCATTTTGGGTCTCATGATGACGATCTTATTCAGACCCTGTGTGTCTTTCTGGATGACAATGGGATGGAAACAACTGAGAGGAGTTGTGGTGACATGTAGTCAAAAGAGACTTCTTTTGTGAAGTTGTGTCCTTTCAGAGAAAAAGAAAATTGGGGAGAAGGTGAGAGAGAGAAGGAAAAAAATTTAAAGTGGGATGTGTTGCAAGTATTGCTTCCACCTTATCAAGGAGACAGTCAGAACCACGAAGTCGTTCACAGGAAAGGGAACGGGGAATTCTCAGTGCCCTAAGGATGGAGGGTGACAGGAAGTAGGAGGAGAGAAGTAACTCGACCCTGCCTGCTTCAAAGGCAAGGGTGGGAATTTGGTTTCCTGTCAAAGAGGGGGGTTTGCAGATGCTGCGGGAAGGGGAGGTGGGAAGCAATTCAATCCTGTCTCCCCCAAAGACAAGAGCAGGAACACAGTATGCTGTTGGAGAAAGAGTTTTGCAAATGCCACTGAGACGGGTCCCATTAGGAGGCCAAGGAGGAGGTTTTAGGTTTGTAATAGTGCCACTAGCAACTCAGGATTGAAGAGAAGGCTTTCATTTCATTTGGAGGATCCCACAGGAGTAGGAGAGAGAAAAGATGAATATTTAGGGTATGCAGATTACACTTGGAAAGACTGAGATTTCTCCCTAGGAATCTTTTTTGGATTTCAGGAAAAGTGAATGGTTTTACAAAAGGCACAGCAAACCTGGGAAGATGAGCACCCACAAGCTGTGGGTGTAGTAGGACAGAATGGCCTTGTTGTGGACAATGCTATTCCACAAGCCGACTCCAACTGGGACCCAAACAGCCAGGTGCAGTCAGGTCATCTAAGAGATTATCACAAATATTTAATTAGAGCAACAAAAACAGCAGTGCCACAAACGAGTAATGTGTCTAAAGCTATGTCTCTACAACAAGAGAAAGATGAGAGCCCCACCCAGTGGTTAGAAAGGCTTAGGGATGCCTTGAGAAAACAGGGAGGGTTAGACCCTGAAAGCCCTGCATTTGAAACTTCATTGAAGGTACAATGTGTCACTCAATCACAGCCTGATATAAGGTGAAGGGTTCAAAGAGGAGTAGCAGAATAAATCTTTAGAAAATCTAATATGAAAAGCACAAGTTTATGTAATAAAGGACAAGGAGAAAGCCAAAACAAAGGCTAAGGTAATGGCCCAGATTCTTCAACCTAAATGAGGAGGAAAGAGAGGACAAGGGGAAGCAAGAGGGAGAGACTGGACCCCCAGATCCTTTCACAATACCCCTCACTCCCCTAATCAAGCTCAAGTACGACCTAAGTTAGGGAGAAACCAAAGTGCAATCTGTAAGAAAGAGGGACATTGGAAAAAAAGAATGTCCACACAAGCAGACAGATCAAGAAGAGAAGGAGATCCACCATTTAATAGAAATGGATTGCTAGGGGTGTCACAGGTTCCCTTCATATTATGAGCCCACCACCATGGAACCCTTGATAAACTGCCTACTGGGCCCTGATTGAGAGGTAGTGCAATTTTTAGTGGATACTGGGGCTTCTAGATCTACACTGAATTTTATGCCAAAAGGAGGCTGGTTATCAAAAGGAAGTTTAACTATTCAACAGGTAAGTGGGAAGGATGAGAAAGTACATACACTGGAACCTATACCAGCTGACATAGAAAATAAATTTGAAATGCATGACCTTTTTGTTCCAAACTGTGATTGTAATCTGCTGGGGAGAGATTTGATGGCAAAAGTGAAGTGGATATGCAAATTAATATTCTGAAGGATAAAACTGAAGCAAATACAATCATTACACTCCATAAGCTATCATCAGGGGTTTATGAAAAAGTAATTCCCACTATGTAGGCAGTATCTGGGAAATATGGAAAATTAAATATAGAACAGATTACTTTAAGGCATCAGGATCAGATTGTATCCCAGAAGCAGTACCTCATTCAATGGAAGGAAGAGAAAGGTTAAAACCTATAATCCAACCGTTATTACAAGCTAGCTTGTTAGAACCATGTATGTCTCCTTGTAACACCCCAATTTTACCAGTGAGGAAACCAGATGGAAGTTACCGAATGGGTCAAGATTTAAGAAAAATTAATGAAATAGATAAGTCTAGACACCCTACAGTTCCTGATCCTCATACTTTTCTCAATCAAATTCCCTCTTCTCACTGTTATTATTCTGCGTTAGGATGCATTTTGGTTGTCCAATTACAGACAATAGTAAGCCATACTTTACCTTTGAGTGGGAACAAGAAGAAGGAGGGAAAGTAATTAAACAGCAACTTAATTGGACCGCACTGCCACAAAGATATACTGAATCACCGGTTTTATTTGGACAAGCTTTAAAAAATCTTTTAAATGAATTCTCATTACCTCCACAAGTAAGGTTATTGCAGTATGTAGATAATTTTACAAGTAGAAGATACTACTGTGAAACTGCTTAACTTTCTAGCTGAAAAAGGACTAAGAATTTCTGAAAAGAAAGATCAAATGGTAGAGACAGAAGTTAAGTATTTAGGACATATTATAATGCACGGATCACAATGTGTAGGTCCAGAAAGGGTGAAAGGAATCTTGGAAACTCCTCTTCCAAAAATGAAGAAAGAATTTTTAGGATTAGTGGGATTTTGTAGGACTTGGACAGAAGATTTTTCAATAATAGCCAGACCATTGTATGATTTGTTGACTCGAGAAAATCCAGAAGTAATTATTTGGATACCTGAAGGGAAAAGGAGTTTTCAGTAACTAAAGAGTAAATTAATTCAAGCTCCTGCCCTAGCTCTTCCAGATCTGAACAAAGAATTTGCATTATATGTAGATGTTAACCAGGGACATGCAAAAGGAGTGTTAATATAAGATCATGGTGGCTCTCATAGGCCAGTGGCCAATTTCTCTAAATTATGACACAGTAGTTACGGGATGGCCACATTGCCTTCAAAGTCATGCAGCCACTGCTCAGATGGTGCTTGTGGCTAGAAAGCTAACTAATGGAGGACATTTAGTAGTTAAGAGTCCCACACCAAGTTAAAGCATTATTAACAGAAAAAGGTTCTAAATGGATGACTAATGCACAATTGTTATAGTATGAAACTTGTCTAACGGAGTAAGATGATTTAGAAATCAAAGGTAGAAAAAGTTTCAGTCCAGCTTCTTGTTTAAACAGAGATGAACAAAACCCTGAAATAGTTGATGATTGCATTCAGGTAATAGGTCTTCAAACATGAGCTAGAATTGACCAAACAAATGGTCCACTATCTAGACGACAAAATATGTTTATTGATGGATCCTCAGGGGTGATAGAAGGGAAGTGTTATACTGGATATGCTATAATTGAAGAAGAACAGTTAAAAGACTGTGATAGATTACCTTATATCTAGTCAGCATAAACAGCTGAACTATTTGCTCTGATACGAGCTTGTGAAATACACCAGGGAAAAGCAGTTAATGTCTATATGGATTCCAAATATGCACATGTGTTTGCGAAATTACAGGAAGAAAGGGGATTTTTAACCTGTAGAGGCAAGGCACTAGCATATGAGAATTTGATAAAGAGATTATTGAAAGCCATGGATTTATCTCAACACATAGCAGTGATCCATGTTAAAGAACATCAAATGGGACATCAAATGCTTCTGCAGAAGTGATTGGTAATAGACTAGCAGATGAAGAGGCCAGGAAAAAAGCACTTTTGCTTGAGGTATCTGAAGTATTTCCCCTCCTACCAGTGACTCAATTATTGCCAGAAGGAATGTCCTTCTTACCACAAGACTTGGAAACAATTAAAAACAGTGGAGCAGAAAATAGAGGGGAAAATTGGTTCACAAAAAAGGGTAAACAATGGATACTGAAGGCATTGGCCTTACAAATATCAAAACAACTTCATGAAGGGAGTCATTGAGGCTCCTGAGCACTAGCAGAGGCCTTTCTTAAAATGTATTTGACATTGAGCCCTTTGTGACATTGCTTTACATATTCCATGGTACCCTCAAAGTTCTGGATGAGTAGAATGTATGAATGGAGAGATAAAGAAATATCTTTTAAAATTAGTAAGGGAAACAAAAATGCCCTGGACTCAGCTTTTACCTATAGCTTTAGCAAGGATAAGAGCTAAACATCGAGAGAATCTTAAGTTATCTCCATCTGAGATGATGTCTGGAATCCCTTATCCGGTTGGGTTACAAAAGGAAAGCAGAATAGAAATTATTGATTTGTTCATAAAGCAGCATGTGGCCAGAATACTGTCTGTTGTAAAATCTCTTCAACAGGAAGCCCAGCTGGCACAAACTCTACCCTTGGATTTCGCAGTTCACGACATCCGGCCAGGAGACTGGGTTCTAGCTAAGGACTGCAAACACCGCTCGTGGGAAAGTGGCACAGACCATATTAGGTGTTACTGACCACAGACACAGCACTTAAGACTGCTGAGGATGGGTGGACTCACCATACACAAGTGAAACCTTCTAGAGCACCAGAGTTCTGGACTTCACAACTAGAAGAAAAAGAAGGAAAGCCTAAACTTATACTACACAGAAACTGTGAGTAGAAGCGTCTGTGTTGATTTACGAAGAAGTTCCTGCATCTACCCACTGAGCATCTACTTAATGTCTACTCAAATGGACCTTCCTATCGACAGTCAAATGAAGACAAAACTTTTGATCCTGTTTCTTTGTTATCACCTGTGCGCTGGTCAAATAGAAGGAAACAGATTTTTAGCGCTAGGGGAAGAAATTGCAAAAGCTCAAAGTTCCAAATAGCTGGTCCATAATGCTCAATAATCCTTTGAAAAGTCCACTCATTCTTTTTCCATTTTTTGTTTTCTTCCTCCTGTAGGGGAGGTATTAAGTTCTCGTTTGTTTGGTTTTTTAATCATCATATACTTTAATTCCCAAACTGGATATGGCTTAAAAAAAAAGAATAAGGGTTTAATACATCCTACAAAACAAATTCCTTGTCCAATTTTCAGGCAATCTTCTATATGTGTGTTGGTCACTGTTGATCCAACAGTGTCCTTTAAGTGCCCAGTTTACACTGGATAAGGGATCATCCCAGAGTTCCTCATCTTCTGGGACTTGAAAATAAAGAGTATTTTCCTCTCCTAACAGCCCACCACTATATGTATTTCAGGATCCTTGTTGGGATAATGTGGGAGAAGATGAATATGAAGATTGGAAGAGAAGTGTTGAGCCCGAGATTCCCTGCGAAGATGAGACCAACGTATGAATGGATATGAACTGTTTAAGAATAAGCATTTCAGATTTCACATTATGTTTCTCAGTTTATTGTGTAATCCTCTATAGATATATACAGTGGACTGTAAATTCTGGAAAATTCCCTTATCCCTCATGGTCTTGAACCCTGCCCTCCCACTGATAAATCTTTGCTGCATTGCAGAACCCTTCCCTATATGGTTGTGTCATTCTCCTATTTTGCATGCTCCTCCTTTACTCCTCCTTAGTTACACCCTCTTCCTTGCAAGTTCTTACCCTACCATATATAAGGCGGAAGCCATATTAATAAAGTGTCATTTCTCCTTGGATCCCAGAAGTGTGTAAACCCATTTGTCCCAGCTAATAGCCACAGGATAACAGTATCACAGAACCCCCGTGAATTGATTCATGGAACAAGAGAGCCCATCTATAATTTAAATCATATAATTTGACTCCAAACTATATTAGAGATTATTGCCAATCAAACAGCTAATGTCTTAAGACTTGCTGGTAGACCAAGTAACCCAAATGAGAACTGCCAACTTTAAACACCAAATGGTTTTTGATTTTTTGTTAGCAGTGGAAAGTGGAGTATGTGGAAAATTAAATAACTCAAATTGCTGCCTGCAAATCAATGACAATGGAAAAACAGTAAAACAAATAACAAAACAAATCTGAAAGTTAGTCCATGTCCCAGTTGAAACTTGGAAGGAGTGGGGCATAGATATGTTTTCATGTCTTGCAGTTGGACCAGCAATAAAGAAAATACTATTCTTTGGTTTTTGCAGGCAAGCTACCTTAATTTTCCTGCCTTGTATGATTCCTTGTCTTATGCAACTTATTGCACATGTGATGAAGAGGATGCAAATAGTAGCTATGCCTAATGACCCTGAAATGGCAATTAAAGGACAGAAAATAATGGCTCTGAAAATAGTGTGTAAATAAGAATTACCAACTACTCATTCTCAAGAAACTTTAACCTTAGATATCGAAGTAGATCAAGAGAGAACTATTAACAAAGTAGTACTCCCTTTTGCAAGAACATAATTTTTAAAAAAAGGGAGGATTATTAGGAATAAGTAGAATGTTGTTGCAAAGTTTGTAGTAGTCACAGTTAACTTAGTAGTACGGGATAGAAAAGTTATGAAGTTGCCCAGTATGAGATAATACAGTGCCCAGAACATGGAGACCAATCAGCAGCAAGGGATAAATACACAGTAACCTCCATTTTTAAAATGTTGGGGACCCTCAAAGCCCTTAATGAGCATGTAATAGGGGACATGTAGTAGGCATGTCAGAAAGTCTGTAACCCTGGAATACCTCACTCAATGGAGAAATGGGGAGGGACCTGAGTTTTGGGCAGAGTGGATAAAAGAGGCTACGACCCCTGTCAAGTAGAGAGACCTCACTGGGGGAATGCTCAAGGAACTCTCTCTTTTATTTGAATGAAAGTTTTAGTTAGCTCTTCTGTCTCTTGACTATTTTTGAGGCTCTTAGTACATGGATTTTTCAGAAAACTTATAATCATGACCTTTTTATCCTGAGAAAACGCAAATATCTACATGTTGTAAGGTCATACTTTAGAAACCAAGCACTGGATCATCTTCCTCTCTTCTCCCTACTGTTGCAGGAAGAACTATCAGCAAATACAATCCAATTAATACTACTTCAATTTCACTAATGGAGAGAGAGAAGGACACAGAAGAGGCCCTCATCAATGCAGTCAGTTCAACATGGTTTTTCTCCTCAGAAAAGCTAACTGGAACTGTAACTTTCTTGTTTAAATAGTACAGAGTTAATAGCAGACAAAATGTATGTGACTAAGCATATTTCTCATACACCTGAGTGTCCTTCGTTCTCTGCCATCAGCTCCAGATAAGTCTCAGGACTACAGTGAGGCCTCTTGTACTGCTGTGTGGGAAGATGCTACAACCCTGAAGTCTCCCACATGGAATAAAGTAGTGTGTGAAGATTCTCTTAGTACTTAAAAAAACCCCAAACTACCAAATATGTTTCTCTTTTAGAGTTAAATTACTATACTGTGAAATAAAATGTCTTATTCATTCCAGTACTAGATTCTTCTCTCTTGTTAAGAACAAACTTCCACATAATTACCTGAGGATTAACTGCTCTGGTAAGAGTTTGAAAGGATGCCTAAAAACACTGCTCTTCCTCCTTTAAACTTTTTTTTTTGTAAATTACGAATCATCCTGTTTTTGACAACTCTACATTTTATACAAGAGGTAACACAATACAGACTATACAGTGTTCAAATACAATGCTGATAAAATGCAGTAACTGCTGCTAGTCATATGGGTTTCCAATCAGTCCATAAAACTTTATCCAAGGTTGATTTACGAAACTAGCCTGGAGATGTGTTATTAATAGATACAGAGGAGACAAACCTGCTGGTTCTGAAAAGATCCCATTCTGATCAAAATTAGTGAAAGCTAAGAAGAACTGGACCACAACAGATAACTGTATAAATACCTACAATTTTTACTGTACCGTAGAACTCTTTGGAACTATTTTAAGCAATAATAACTCAGTTTTTAGAGATGCTGACACTTAAAGCTACCACCCCCTGCTGAGTTTCTCAGAACTTTCCCAAAATCAGGTAAAGGAATTCTCAATAAGGTAAATGGTTGCTGTTCATTTCAGAGTCTTCTTTTAATGAACAGCTTATACAGATGCTTGTGCATGTGCAGCAATTCTTTCACATAGTTTAAAACTTTTAAAATGCTAAAATCCATTAAATCAGACTCCTATGTATTATTACAATCCCTCAATTATTGACTGAATGGAAGACATTTGAAAAACAAAGGGAAAATTACAATCCCTATCACTCTGTAATACTAATAATGATAAAGTATAAACAAACAGGCAGGTTGGATCATTAATTCATTTCAGCAATGAATATAACAGGTGTTACATTCTCTCTGGAATTCTGAATGGTAACAGTCCACACAAATGCTTCTTTCACCTCCAAGCTGTGTCAGATCAGATGTAAAGTATATTTCTTCGTTCTGAAACAAACCCCAACTCCCAAAACAAAACACATTCTAACTCATCAGCTTTTGAGAAAGTACACCAGAACCCCATGCACCTGCCACTGTCTTCTCCCGACAGAGATCATTCTGCTTCATGCCCTAAACTTAGGATTTACATGGACCTGGGCGGTCTTTTAATGGTTTGGAGTTTTCTTAAGAAATGTTTCCTCAACACGTAACTGAAGGCCTCAAAAACTAGATAAACAGACATAAGCAAAAAGATTAATTAAAGCTGTCATTTTCTCTTTACCTATGAGTGACATATGATACTACTAAGTTCTGAAATACTCACGCCATAAAGAAACAAGCAGGTACAGACAACAACATGTATTGCAATGTTGTATGCTGTGACTACTGCAGCACTCATTCTGAGCTCATTTCATTATATTATATTACTTCAGACAAGTGAAACCGGAGTCTATGGAGTGAAGCAATTGCACAAATATGAATGAATAGAAAATAGAGTCCAGATTTTTACATAATGCACAATTTCTAAACACAAATGTATAAATCCACAATAAAAAGAAAACATTACTGAAATATTTTGGCTTGGTTGTTGGTTTGGGTTTTGTTGTTTGGTTTTGGTTCTTTTTAATACACAAGTTATTTAAGTCAGGAAAACTATGTGTCTCTTAAACATTGCAACAGTTTTTTGTCAGTGCTGATTTTTTGACAGGTGTCCCAGCCAGGCTGGTTACTGACCTCGTATCATCTTGATTATCACTTCGTTTTCGCACTTCACTGTAAAGAAAATCACCAAACAAAAAATGCACTCAATTATAATATTTCCATCCATGTTCACTGTTCTGTTTCTCCCACTATATCTTACACAGCTTTTAGCCATCTGTTGCATGGCTAAAACTATGGAGTTAGTGCACAGAATCAACATCTCATAAGTTTCTAATTTTGGAATCATATGGATATTTCTGTGCATTTCATAGTTAGTCACAAAAATACAATTATACCTAATACCTAATAACTCCCCAATGTTCTGATATGCCTTTCCTTTTCTTTTGAGAATTTTTATTTATTTGCTTCAGAATACGTTTATAGTTTAAAGTATAAAACTAAATAACTTCTGTTTCAAGTATAAATTTATCTTCAGAATAAAAACGCATATCGTTGGATGTTTTTTATAAATGTGGGCTTAAAAGTTGCGCATGCATGAGTGATTACTGATTACAGAACATCAGTCTTGAAAAATTATACTGTAATCAAAAATTATTTGGAAAGGTAATGGAAGTGTAATGTTTGGCTCACCCATTATCACAGAAATACCAGGGCACTAAATGAATATACAAATAATTTCTATCTTGTAAGTAATTCAGAGAAAGGGACATCAAAGAAAAATGTGTAATTAGAATGTTCAGTAACAGAACTGAGCATATATTAATATATTGGAAAGAATTAAAAATTAATTATACATAGAATTACACACATCTGAAAATAATTTAAGAGATAATTAGGAAAGTAAATCCATGTACAATTAAAAATGTAATTCATTCACCAAATAGGTTTTAAAACGGTGGGCTCCATAACTGAGCTCTAATTTGAATATTAATTACTGAGACAGCTTTGTAACATTTGCAAGCAAAAATGTTAGTTGTTAAACTGAAAATAAATCCTGTCCCTCATTTATCTATAACAATTCAACATGGTATTCTCTTTAATTTTTTTTTTTTGTTTATGTTGGTACAATCTTAAAACTACATGTATGACTTTGTATGTATATTCACATATTATATCCTTTTTACAAAATATACTCAGTTGCGTTTATTTGAAAAAAGAAATAATGTTACCGAGCAAGATGAAGAACTGCTTCTACAATATTAGATCCATCTTTAGCACTTGTTTCACAGAATAGCGCATTATAAGTCTACGAGTAAAAATAAAATGTTAAGCCAATTAATTTGAAATGGTTCCCATGAGAACATGTATATTTATTTACAAATGGTTTCCTCAGTAACACAAAACAACGATGACACACATTTAAACCAACAGGATTTCTTCTAATGCTCTTAATTCTCCAAAATATTCACTTTAGTACTGTGAAAGAAAACAGTAATTGTTTTTTAATTATATCTGTTTTATATTCACTACAGTCTGAATTAATAAACTGAATAAAAAACATATCATAGTTCTTAACTCCAAACTCAATCTTCTTGTTTCACAAGATTGCAAAATATGAAGAGAGTTCCTAGGACAATCTAGCTTGTTCCTACTCAATCTAGCTTGTTAGTTACTCAAACTACAGCATCCGATAGTCTAGGTTAACCAAAAACATAATTCCATAAGTAAGAGACATGGTATCTGCCGCAGTTCAATCAAACAATTGTACAAGCACTTAGAGACTCAAGATTCTTAAGATTCTCTATATTTTTCTGCCAAATATAGGATTTATGCATCTCTTAGCCACCATATAAATACATGCAAAAAAAATTGTCCACACTTCTATTCATAGCAGAGAATTCCTTTTTTGTTTCTGCACATGCGGTAGAAATACAAGCTAGCCCCTTGAAGTGAAACCATTCCACTTAAAACCAGGACAGACACAAGCCAGTTGAAAAGCCTAACTAAATAGCATGCTTCATATTTGAATGAGCAAACTCAGTCTCCCAGTCCAACCACTCTTTTTACAAAAAAGACTGAGAAGACTATCCCAGCCAATAACAAAATTAAGCTTACTAGACACTGAGATGTGATTTAACCCAGCAAACACCACCAAAACATGATAGTTTTAATGAGAAGTATCCACGAATACTCGATTTGGACAAATGACCAGAAAATTATTTCTGTTTACTACCTTCTTATGTGGTTTCCAGATTAAAGTCCTTAAGACCATTTTATACTAAAGAGGTACACTTCGACCTTACCATAGCCAACTTTTCTCCATAGTTTACAGGTACACATTTTTGCCCTTGTTCTGTAACAGCTTGACGGAGATCTGCCTTGTTTCCCACCATCATAATTGGAATATTCTCATGAGTTGCATCCTGTAAAGAGAATTTTATTTCCTTATTGCTAGAACACTCAGTATACAAAAAAGTAACTAACACCATCATGTCACACTGACTTCTTTCCCACAAAAGGAATCAGTGCACTATCAGAGAAAGATGACTAATTATAAAAGTTATGCTGAGAACTTTTTGTAAACCATTTAATATGTAAGTAGTCGGCTTAAACGTCAGCCTGCAAAGACGTGCTTCCATTACTATAAGCCCTGCTTCCTGACAATTCATTTAATATGTGAAGTTAGTCTAATGAAATTAATTATTGCATCCAAATGCTATATGACAAAATCACTATGGGAAAAGTGACTACCATGATTTAGAAAAAATGCTTTTAGAAGATGAACTAAATATTTTGCTTGCCACTTTCGTTCTATTAAACACCTTCAGCACAAGAGAAAAAGCCTTTGCATTAAATGCAAATTCACATTCAAATAAAAAACCAAGAATATTGGTTTAAAATGCAAAGACTCCAAGGAATACTCAAGCCATCCACAAGAAGGTATCCGAAATGGGTTCTCATGTTCATTTCCAAAGGAAATGTTGTGATTCCACAACAACCTTTTACACAAAGATGTACCATATTGCATGCTAACTGAATATGTCAGGATGCATTTAGGACTTCAATGTAGTTTTTACTTCTATGAGAGCCTGCAGTCTGGCTAACTACAACTTACAGACAATAAAATTTTATAAATAATAAGGTTAACAATGCAGTGAAACATAGCTTATAAGCTGTATATACTTAATACCTTATACTTACCTCAATCATATCCATCCATTCTCTCACGTTAAGAAAGCTTTTTTCACATGTTACATCATATAGTAGCAAGACACCATCTGCTCTTCTGAAGTATGATTTAGCAATACTTCTGAATCTTTAAGAAAAAAAAGGTCTGCATAAGGCCACATTAAAAAATAATTAAATTTAACATCAATAAGAAAGGAGTATTTCTTAATTTCACTACTGAGTAAGATTCTCTCCACATTACACGATGAGTTTTCTCATAGCTTCTTTTGTAAGTAGTTCTTAAAAACTGCTGATGCAGGTCTACAAGTGCTCTCTAAGGATCAACAGGATTCTGTCCTAAACAACAACCAATATTTTGTATATCAAAACAATCTACAGTGTATCTATCACAGATAATATGTTCTTAAATTGTGCCAGGGAGGATTAGATTTTCTTCACTAAATGTCCTTACAGAAAAGGTGGTCAGGCATTGGAATGAGCTGTCCGGGGAAGGGACATGGTTTAGTGGTGAATACAACAGTATTAAGTTAACAGTTGGATTCAATACGCTTAGAGGTCTTTTTCAAGCTTAATGGCTCTATGATTCTATGATTCACTTACATATAACTTCCTAAATAAAATTATTCTAGGGATTAACTATCTTTGATATGAACTTTACACAATGTATTTAATCAAGTACAGCAACTTTGTATTTACACTGGATATTAAAATATTCTTCACAAATTTACTACATGGAAGGAGAATGATTGGGCCACTACTTCCCTACTTCACATAATCACTCATTCAGGTAAAAGTAAGCACATACAATCAAACAGAAATTTTGGTCAATGAACAGATTAAAGTGACTTCCAAGGTGCTAGATTAATCTCTCAATAAACACCAAAGGCTGTCAGTAAAGTAATGGCTCTCAAGAAAAGATGACATAGAAGAAACTTTATGTAATAATTTAAGAATCTTGAATATATATTCAGCAATCTGTGAAGAGACATGGCAAAATTCTAAAGTTTTTGGGAAGAAGTTTTCATATCCTAAATACAATGCAAATCAGGACTAGGATTTTCAAAGAGGAGAAGAAAGAAGAGGAGGGGGGGGAAGGGAATGTCTAAGAAAAATCCTGCTTAAAAAGTGTGTAAGGACAAAGAAAGCTAAAGACTAAAAACAGAAAAACAATGTGCATCTTTTTGCATTGCAAAAGAGGGACACGTGGACTTAATTAATTAATCCTGTGGTGAACCTTAACGACTTCCCTCTGTGGAGAAAAAAGATTACCTCAAGCATCACTAAAGCTAACAAAAAACATTGCACCTGTCTTGGAGTCTCAGAAGAGAAAAATCGCTTCTGCTTACAGATATTTACATATGGCCATATTGACTTGCTGTAGGACCATACCATTAGTGGATTTTTTTCACCTAGGCGAAAAAAGGCAAGTGACTTTTACAAACAAAAGAATTCAGAATAGAGAAGTGTGAAGAATTACTAACCTCTCCTGCCCTGCTGTGTCCCACAGTTGTAGCACTGTAGGTTCTCCATCAACAATTAGTCTTTTCATTTGAAAATCCACACCTGAAAAAAATCATGTGTATAGTCTAACACAAAACATCAATAACCTTCAAAAAAACACAGAAAATGAAAAGTTATATGCTATATACAAGAGTTATTTCAAAATTCATCTCTTTTAACAGGTTATGAGATTTCAGTTGTTCACATACTCTCGAACTGCAATAATCCCCTGAAGGTATCTGTCTTTAGAAAACTATTTCAAAAAATATTTTACCCAAGCATATTCCCAGAAGCATTGATACAAATGGCATCCCTGACAGCAAATAAGACCTCTCTCTCTTTTATTTTGCTAAACAGTTTTATCAAAGAAACAAAAATATTTTATAAAACAGACTTTCTTTCAAATGCCAAGGAGGAAAAAGATAAATTGGAAAAAAAATCCTGACTCAGAGGCAATAAAACAAATATATAACTATGATTCAACTGGAAGAAAAATTAAGTCTGCCGAATTTTTAAGACAAGTTTGCTAGTTGACAGCTATAACAGTATACACAAGATATCAGTCAGAAATCCCTCTAGCTGTATTTAAACCAAAGCTTCAGTAACACTTCAAAGAAATTGAGACAAAAATAGTATAAAAGGATACTACAAAATACTAAGGAAAGAGGAAAGAGCTGAGAAAACAAGAAAGCAATAAAAATGCAAAAAGGTTCATACAAACACTAGAAGTTCCTTATACTGAAATTCTCTTTTCTGGTGCTTTGTGTTGTTCAGAAACAGGCTTTGTAAAGAAAAACTAAATTAGACCGGGACCCTACAAACCTACAAACAACTGTTAGGTACTGCTAAGCTTTAGAACTCAATTAGCTCTCCCACCCTAAGAAACTGTTTCTGTATATGCAGGCAACCCTAGCAAGCAATCACAAATGGAATCTTTTCACCCATTTCTGCAAAACAGCAATGAAATTCATTTAAATACTTTAAAAAGAACAACAACTATACCCAAAGTTGCACTGGTATTGCCTCGAAATTCATTCTTGCAAAGTCTCATAAGGAAACTGGATTTTCCCACTGCTGCATCTCCAGCAAGAACAATCTTGTAAGCCTTCTCTGAACTGGGGTATTTTAGAGTGCATTCGGTTGCATCTGACTGAAAATAAAAATAATCCCTCTATTGCAACTTATATAGAAAGTATATTCTCTGTATTGCTCTTTTTCCTTTTTCCACTAAAGAACTGGTTACCTGGGGAGTGAGAGCAGATATGTATTTCCTTGTTGAAGCAATTGAGCTGCTTCGACTTACTGGTCGTGAGGGCTTCCACTCTAATACTGCAGTACTGTTGTCAGGACTGTACGCTTCTTCATCCCTGATCTCTGGAACCTGAAAGTACAGATTAATTCTCTGGTGAAAAAAGTGCACTTTTTTGGAAAGGCACAGGCAAGATTCATTAAAACATTTGTTTTAACAATTTGGATTAAACACAGATGAATGACCAAATAGAACTGTGCAATTCTAGTAAAAATACTGTGATTATTCTGTTCTTATTCTTATCCATTTGCTGTTGACTATAGCCTACATATTGTCCTTAAACATGTTTATGGTTTGGTATACATTCTTTTAGTACTCCTTCTGATAGACTAAACTAATTTCCATATGAAAATTTCAGCTTAAGAACAGTAACAATAAACAAATATTTTATTTCAAAGCCTATTTTACAAATATTAAGAATTTACCTACAAGACATTACTCTCTATGATATTACTACTCAAGCTAAACTAAATACAGCACAGCTGTAATCAACACTACTCATAGCATACTCTCCACAGAGATTAAATCTTTACTAAAAGCACAGCAAAGGAGTTGCCTTAAAAAAACACATGTTCTACTGTGTTTGATACTAGTCTTGCTATGTAGTCATAACTAAATCTTTCCATTTTGCTGACAATAAAATGGGTATGACACTTTCTTACATTTTTAAATTCTCTGAGACTTAGTGTGTAAGTCAATGTATGCACCAACAGTATTCTTCTTTCTCATATATGCTTTTTTCCTTCACTGCCACAGCATACTAAGAGGAAGTGATGGAAACCTGTTTTACTTCTATAGTATCTGCTTTTTTATCATTAGAAAATGAGCTCCTCTCTCCAAACAGTTTAACAACCTTAAAAAACCAAGCATAGTTCAAAAATGAAGTTACTGCCTCAGAAATCTACCAAAAAATGTAAAAATGAACATTTTATTTTAAAGAGAACTAAATATTTATGCATTCTCCAAAACAATTTTACTAATCTTATTTGAATACATACAACCCAAATACTTAGTTTTAACTGCTCTATGGAGAAAGATCCATTTTATTTTAAAACCAGGAAACTAATTTTGTCTCCAACCAAAGGTCTTTCTCAGAGAAGGAGTAAATCTGGCACTTACATCTGTATCAGAAGCATCACCACCAAAGCCTTCTTGCACACACTGTGACCTTTGAAAAATCCTTTGATGCCTGTATTCCACTTCTGAATCATACTCATTTGAATCTCTCAGGGTAGACAAACCACTGTCAAAACAGCTCTCAGGTAAGCTGTCAACTTCACAGTTTATCCTTTGCATAGGATCGCAAACGGCTAAAGAATCAAAATCGTCATCCACACAAGACGAATGAGACGACCTAATAAGAAAATATTGGAGGGGAAAAGAATAACTTATTCCACAATTGTTTTTCCCAACAAAATATGAGACATTCTGAAACAGCTGATTTTTAGAACTGCTAAGTTAAAGCCATATGTTAAGCCTATCTTGCCTTTATAAAGAATTTCTTTCTCAATCATCTCTCTTACAATGCTCAGATTAAATTATTTAATCTATGTTATTGATGATGACTTCCCATGTTTCAGTATGTCTATTTATTAATTAAAAAAAAACTGTTTAAGAACATTCAGAAAAATGACATACTATGAAGACATCAAAGGCAGAAAATAATAGACAATGGTTTAGCTCATTTTTGGCCTATTCTAAGACATAAAATGACCTTGACATACTCTGTCTCATTTAAATGATTGCATTTCCTCGTAGAAGCACACCTGCTAATAGGGAACAGCTATAAATATAGAAAAGGGAGTAGCCAAGTTCAGGAGATCAGTAATGGTGGAAGAAGTCACTGAAACACATGTTCTTATAGTTCAGTAGGCTACGTAAAACCTAAGATTTTACACAGAAGTCCTTTCTTTTCCCTCACCCCTTCTTCAAAGGCTTTTTGGTTTCCATTTTGGATGCTGTAATATATAAAAATACTTTAATGAATGCAGCAATGCCAGTATGGCTTACAGGAAAAAAAAAGCTTTTATGTATGTAAATAAAACTACATAAAAGAAAGATTAATAGAGTAAATCTTAAAATAATCAATCTTACAAAAAAATATATGATGGCTACAAGCATTATTATGCTCCTGTAGCAAGACAGGAACAGGCACAAATTACAGTGAGGTAAAGAAGGTCTTCAAGTCACAGCACAGAAGAGAGAAACAGTCTGGCTTTGCTGTATTGGGAATGGATGTGAGGCACTGAACTGCTAAAACAGACAAGGTCAGCATCAATCCTTGTAAAAATAACTTGGTCCCAGAGGGGCTGGGACCTCCCAGCGTGATGGCACAGCACAGCAGAGTACACTGGGGAGAACAACAAATTATGAAGTGAATAATGAGTCGAATTCCTGCACATGGCCAAATGGGGGTGACAGGGTATCACTGTTCCATGCAATAACATTCAGAACTATCTAACTTACATACCTTAAGGCTAAAGAATAATCACACGAATGAATGTGATCTTTGCTTTAGACTATCACAGCATACATGCTCTTTGCATTTATGCACCTACGAGCCCGTACCAAATCACTGAAATACAGAAGAAGAGTGTATACTATAACAAAGTTAAGCTTGTCAGGCGTTCCCTGAAATAAAGGTCTTTAGTAGCAAACTTTCAACCTCACTGAACCATGAATTCAATGCTGGGAATTTCATACGTGCTTAAAGCAAGTTAGACGAAGATGTGTGTTACAGATGAAAAAAACACACCTGTGCAAATTGCTTCAAAACATGTTAGAATGCAAATCAATAGCTCTTAATGCCGATTTGCTGTCAGGAGACAAAGTACTAAAACAAACTGTCTGTCATTTGATACTAAGTCACATCTGTTAAGAGTGAGTTTTATTTCTACCACATAACCTTTCCTCTAAAGCTTCTTTCAGAAAATTACTCAATGTAATATGCAACTTAGTAGGGGATGCCTTTCAAAATTTGCAGAGGGTCCAAACAGAGGCTGCATTAAGAAGGAAACAGTTTCTGACGAGCAAAACTTTACAGCCAGCAAACACGTCTCACAGAGACAGCACCCCTATACAAGATACTCTTCTCTCTGTAAATGTAAATGTAAATGTAACATACAGACTACTAAGAACTCTAAGGTTTGGAGTACCACCGAAAGAAAAAGAAGACAAAATAATCTATCAACTGAGTAAGGACACACATTTTTGCTGGCAGATCCAGCTGTTTAAAAAAAAAAGTGTGAAAGTATAGCATGATTGATAGTGCTTGGGGTTGTCTCCATTGCTCAGTATCTTCAGTGTCTCTGCAATGATCTGAGGAAGGTCTGATCAATGACATGCATCCAGTAGGTACAAAAATAAATACCTCTGACCATTTGATATTTGCATTTAGATATCTTACTGTCCTCTGTGACTTTTACTGCACAAATAGCCAAGTGCACTCACTGTGCTGGCATGTCAGTATAAGATGAGGGTGCTTTTTCTTTTGAAGAATTAGGCCCACATTTGTAATAATTAGTACATGGAAAAACAAGACACACAGGCTGAACATACAACCGAAAACGTTTTATGTCTTAAGTACTCGGTAAGCTAGGTAACAGAGGTCCTCAGAAGATTTTTGTAGCTTCTTGGAGACAAGGAGGGGAGATCAAGAATCAAACTAGAATCAAAACAACAAAACAGTCCAAAATCAACAAGAGGCTGTCTGAACTCTCCATAAATTCATTATTTGGACTGAGAAGAGTTTTCCTGAGCTTCCTGAAGCAACTTAAAAGATTCCTGTTGACTTCAGTATACTTTGGATCTTATGCTATGGTCACACATTTCTTCTAATTCAGACAGAATTATTCTCTCTGTTATTTGACAGCAATTTGCTCTACTATGAAAAGTGTGATGCCCTAGTCTTAACTTAACAAAAGCAAGCCAGGCTTACCTGTCATACCGTGGATTTAAAGGAGAATGTCCACCATTAAATTTAGGACTGCTTCTAGAATTGGTACTTCCTGGTGAGGTGTTTGCTAACCGCTGCAACAGATACATAACAAATGCATAATAAGTTTGATAAATAGAGTGAAAGCATCCAGATTTGTTGTGAAAAGAAATATGCATCATCAAAATGAGAAATGTGTATTTTAATATGTATTTAACTACTTACATTTAATTAAACCTCATGCTTTATATAGGGATGAGGGTCAAAAGGCCTATTACAAATAAAATTTAGACCCTACTGTTGCCTTAATACTGAACCTACTAACCACATTCAATCACAAAAGAGAATGGAAACTCCAAGAAGATTATTTTATTGACTACACCTGAAGACTCTGAGTTGCTAAACTTTAAAAAGTAATATTTAGAACAAGGCACGTTGACTACTAAAAATAAAATGGAAATGTCACTGGTTGAGCTAGTGTCGGTAGAGCTACCTCCTAATTCTTGAGAGAGATAGTGAAGGAAAGGTCTCAACTAATACAATGTGACAGACTACTCTGTATATTCTGCCATGCCTCTACACATTTATTCACTGGAAACAGTTTCTTCTGTGTTCTCTGTAATATGCTCCTTTTTGTTTCAGGGCACAACAGAAGGAAATGGTATCTCTTGTTGCATCTGCAGTGAATATCTAGTAGCTTGTATCGGCAAAAAAGCACTCATGTTCATTGGCATGGAATACTGGAAACCCCTATCTTCATCCTTCCTGTCCAGTATTGTCTTTGAGGGCCCATTATTCAGGCCTCAACCTTCTAAAAAAGTTAGTTGCTTTACTCATGATGCTCAGTCATTAGCTTTAGAGTTTAACAGGTTTCACAAGATTGGGAAACGGCAGTGTAGAGCAGGTTTTTCGTTATTTTCAAGTCTTCCTTTCTCTGTTTTGGAGGATGTCTGGTTACACCTGTTATAATAGATTCCCATGGAGTTGTAATAGCCCAAAAGGGCTTGACTAAGGTCTTAATTATCAGAAGTCCCTGCTATTTATTTTCCCAGCGACTTGCCTGGACAAAAGTCCAGGTTAGGTGAAGACCTTGCTATTGAGAAAGGGCAGTTTTCTGAAAAAGTGTATTTTCAGTGGTAGGCAACTCAATACAAACATATCCGTTTAGTTTGAAAGGAAAACTGCTGCTTTATTCACCTCATTAAATACATCTGAACACAGTATATTAAAAAAAAATTACTACTTTCCAAAGCATCTCAGAAAGCAGTTGTGCTCCAACAAAACCTCATTATTTCACAACGCATTAGTAAAATCTAACAAGATTCAACTATACAAGAGTATCCCCACAGTGAGTCCACTCATTTAAACTCAGATTTTTCTGAGACCCAGCCAATTTAAATTTGGCTGAAGTACCAATTTAAATTTGGTATGTTAATTCTTATGCCTTCTAGTACAATGTAACAAAATCATAAATACATACCAATGATCTGTTGTACTTGCTGAAACTGTTTTCAAGTGCACTTCTTAAACCGTCATTGCTGTCATGTAATTTTCTATTAGCTGACCTAATAAGGAAACACAGTTTAACTTGCAGGAGTAAAGAAAACTTGAAAACTATGTAACTTATCACAAATAAATATTGAATAAGGACTTATCAAAAAACCCTTTTTTTTTCTTTTGATAAACACCAAAGAATAAGATGAAACTAGAAACATGTTGACACATACTGAAAAAAAATCATTATATGTGAAAAAGCCACAGTGAAGTTTAGTCCCCAGTGCCAGTTTAGGAAACCTGTTTTCACTTCTGCAGCATGGTCTCTGGTCTCCTGAGTGGAAAAAAATACTGTAGAAATGGTCACCAAAAAAAAAAAAATCAAAAAAATCAACTAGTACAGCCATTTCTGTACAAAGTGAATACCCTCTAAATATTGCTGAGGTGACTCTAAGGACAAATGCGATTCATCTGCTTGAAAGAAAGAATTTTTTTAGAATAAAGAAACTAACTAAAGATATAAAAAAATCTATTCATTGTGACCCTCCTTAAAAGCAAAAATTTGTGCACCTCTTGCATAATACTGTGCACTTGTAGTACTTCCCAGACAAAAATAAGACAGGGAGTTACAGGAGAAGCAAAGGCAATAAAAAAAAAATGAGTCAGGCAATAATTTTTATTCATTGGGTCTAAGAAAAGAAAAAAAAAATCAATGCAGAATTACTGTCTCAGTAGCACAGCGGTCTTACTAGCAAAGTAACATCTACGACAATTAAGCATGATACCTTCCACGACAGTTGAGGCCATTTCAATATTTTCACTTTGTATTTTTTTTCCAAATCTCAACCCACTCTTTTGCATACAAAATATTTACTCCCACACGCACTGAGACAAAATTTGATAATAAAAAATTGAATTACTAAAAACTTACTGCAGTATTTCAATTTGTCTTTCCAGATTATCTCTGTCTTCAGTATATTCTCGGATAATTTCTAGGTCTCTGGAAAAGAAAAAAAAAAAACACCTAGCTTAAATAAACTTATACCTTACATGATATCCTTTTCTTTTATTTTTATAATACTGCTTTTGGTAGAGTTTACATTTATGCTGACACATGTTGAAAGCAGTTTTATGCAAAGTAAGATCACTTGGTGACTTCACTAATCTCTGCCGTTATAACTCAACAAAGACTGAAAAATAAAAGAAGTACAAAATAATCATATGGATTTCTTCCTTTCCCCTGAAATATAATTTGTGTTATCCGAAGACAAGCACTCAATGAAACTGTCACTTACACTCCTTTAAATCAGTAACTAGAAGCACCTTTTACTCACTTCAGAAAAAAATGCTTGAGATTGATGTGGAAGGCTTCCAAAACTATTCTCCCTAATATTCAAACAGATATTAATCTGAGCGCATGCCAAGGAGAAAAAAAACTGGCTGATGCTGCACTCTTATTTTATTCCTAACTAAAGTCCCACTAAAATCAACAGACATTCTTGCAAAATTATAAGAGTTTGCATCATATCCAGAACTTGCTGTTTCAGATATAAGAACAGTAGTGATGGTATGGTGTCAAACATGTACCTGTCCTTTATGGTAAATTTAGAAAAAAACAACTGCATACATAATAACTACATCAGAGAGCAGATTTTTTTCCCCTGGTGAAAATTATCATGTAAAAGTAACTTACCTCTCAGTGTTCAAAGACTGATCTGCATACTCGCTTTTCAAGCTATCTAATTCACTCTGTAGAAAAGCTATATTTGTCTGTGCTTCTAAAAGATCTTTCTTAAGTTTCTGATTTTCCTTTAAAAAAGGAAGATATTAGATGTTAGATGTCATAGTCACCTCCACAAAATGTTCATAAATTATAATGGTAGAATAAACATCATCAAAATTACATAAAAATGAAACACTAAAATCTTGGCATAGAGGGGGAAAGAAAATGAAAGAACACCAAATCAACAGAGAAGTCAGTAAACTAACATGCAAAAACCTTTGAATTTTTATTTTTCTTTTCAGTTACACAAAAAGGGGACTATATAGCCTCAAGTCATTTCTAAATGTTATATATAGAATGTGCATGCATTTATACAGAACAGGTACTCTTCCAACTTGAAGAATCTCACAGATTTATCAATGACTTTAAAAGTTTACTTTGCAGTTTACCAGTATTAAATGTAAAACCACTACAAAAACCAACAACAAAACAAAACAAAAACAAAAACAAAACCAACAAGAACAACAACAAAACACACAAAAATTTGCACTGTAGACTAAAACAGAGGCTAGATTAATATGTTAATGATAATAAATCTCTTACCAGGAACATATCATGCATTCTTTTTTTCAGTTCACCCACATCTTCCTTGTGATTTACATTTTTGGATTGCTCCTCCAGCTAGACAGACAAAAAAATGCAAAATTAATGTATTTGATTGTTCTGATTCAAAGTACACAAAAGCTAATGGAAATCACATTAAGTAACCCCTGAAAGGTTTTACAGCTACTTAAGTTTTTAAAAGTTAGAGTTTTGTCATCTGTGCTGGTAGGCAGCATTACTCCAATAATCACTCGCTTTCTAAAAAATTTTTAGATCAATAATTAAAAAACGTTTAATGAGCATTTTGCTCACCTACTCTTTAGGTATAAAATATGCATAACTAGTGACACAAGTCAACTATTGAGAAGATACAAACAGGTGTATTCCCACTAAGCTAAAAAAAAAATTATAAAAAATTACTACTACCTCAGCTGTGTAGTATTTGTACTACAACCTCTCATGTTTCTTGTGAGAAATTTCTATTTCTATAAATGCCATTTCAAGTTCAATATAAAGAATAAAAAATGTATCCATCTTGGTTGCTATGATTCTGCTAAAACTTACAGCAAAAACTAATGTTAAAATTAAGACCAGATTACAAAATATCCAAAAACAATCTCATATCTGAGATTTCAGTTTGCCTTACTACTAGGTATCAAATTAAAAGATCACATTGGAGTTGAGTTCTAAAAGGCACTATATTACTGTAAATTACTATATTTGGGTTGCCAATTTCATTTCAATCTATAAATTATAAATACTTAGAGGCAATATGTTGGATTATTTCTACCAAAACCAAGACTAGATAACTGCAATGTTAACAACTTGATGGACACTTTATGGACCTAGAAAATTTTTCAACAACAGAATTTGGATAACAGTTGCTCTTTTCCCTAAGTATTTCAACGAATTACTGAAAATTATCAGCAGTTGCCATTTACTAATACACATTAGATTACAAACCTATAATTATGATTATCCATCTTGAGGAAAGCACTTCAAGGTCAAAATCTTTTAAAACACTTCAAAAACTCACCAGACTTCAACTCACTCACCTTTTTAAGCTTTTTTATTGTCACCTGAAGATCCCCAACTTCAGTATCATACTGACGCTTCAGCTCATTTAGTGCTTCTTCAGCTTTTCGCTTCTCCTGCAATATTTTCAATTTCATTAGAAGTTGAGATAGGTTTCAAAGGTTTATTAAAAAATTCATTCATCATTTTGGAAACCATACTTAAATTAATGTGTGCAATTTTGTCTTTCCATTGTGTCAACCTGTCACTTCCTTAGGATCCACAGATTCTGAATCTGTAACTGCAATCCACTTATACAACATTCATAGAAATAAAATGGTAAGGTGGAAGCAAAGATATGAGTCAATTCAGTGCTACTTATGTCTCTTGTGCTTAACATTTTCAATGTCTTAGGAAAGAATAAATAAAAACCAACACGAAAAAAGTGATCAAATTTTATTTGTACATACATGTAAGTGTGTAGTGTATATACAGATGAATACATACACACCCATGCACAAATCGGGCCATTATGTTCTTTTTTCAAACCAGTCTTCTATGGCTCAGCATACAATGTGCTAGTAATAACATTACCATGCTACCATCACTTAGTTTTTTATTTTGGTTTTTCTCTTACATTTTTTTGCTCACAAGTATTGGAATGTTACGGGGCCATGTCAGTAAAAGGTAAGCAGATGACAGTATCTTTAGTTTCATATGGTACTCAATCTGAATATCAGTATCTGAATACGGTACTCAGTCTGAATATCAAACCAAGTACACTATTCTGAGTTTTATTTTAATCAAGACAGAGAGATTTTGAAGAGAGGCTACATCAGCCACAATGAGAAGAATGAGCATGGCGTGCTATAAATTAATAAGTGTTTGACTCACTTTAGTCACTCCCTGGGGACTTCAGTGCAGTTTCACAACACAAGAAATCAGAATGTAGCAGTGACTAGTGGTGCCAACGAGACAGGTTGAGTTTTCACATGGAAAAGACAGACATGGACTTTGCTCAGAATTCAGTGCTTTCCTGTAGGTGATGTTGAAATCTTATGTGTTAAAACAGTAATCAAAGTAATCAGTTTAAGCTGGATTCCCCTACTGTTGGCAACTATATAGGACTTCTCAGTATTGTTTGGTAAATATTTGTTTCCCTTGAAGCAACAAAATACAGGACAGGTTCTGCAGCGGCAGGTGTCACGGTAGCATGAGTAAGATCACTCTTACAAACAATAGGCTTGATTACAGGCATTAAGATTAATGGCTTAGCACAGTCCTACAAAGTAAATAACTTAACATTTACTCTCAGGGTGTTTCACTAGGTGGAGTATGTGCAGCTACAAGGGAACACTGAGGAGTGAAAATTAAAAAAAGCACTGTGAGAAACAACAGCTCATCTTTCCTACCTAGAGGTAGATGTGAACAGTGAAGATGCAATCCCTGCAACTTGGTGTCAATTCGAGGACTTTTTAGAAGGAAAATACAGACTAGAAGTGGGTAATACACAGAAGATGTACATAACTGTAGATGTTCTCAGAGCGAGCAAATGCACACATCCCAGTCATCCTTTTAAAACAGTGAAAAAGTCCTCAGGGCTCTTTTCTGGAATTTATCATTTTTTGAGAAACAGCAATTTTCCAGAGAAAATTTATTTGTTTTTTAAACATAACTGCTTAGTCTCTCTGGAAATGAACATTTATCTTTACTGAGAGATGCATTACCAGTAGGTAAACATATTACAACACACTTTTTTTGCAGTGGTGATATCTTTATTAACATTTTTATGCCATTATATTTTGTTTCTAGGAAAACAATTGACTTTCATGGTTTGGTAGGAGTGTTTTCTCTTGTACAGAAAAATACGCTATTTGAAGCAAATCTATCAGAACACCATTTACCTTCACAGATCAACTAATGTGAACTACTTCAAATCAACAAGTTGTCAGAAAGCACTTTGTTGCTTCTAATTCTGGAAATGCTCTGGTGAAAGAACCCATAGCAAACATATACAGACATTCAGTATATTGTGTGTCCTACCCAGCAATAATTACGCCCAGAGTATATGTTTTAATTAATGCATATCTTATGTCGACATTAGAACACTTTCACAAACTGTTATTCTTATGCATATTATAAAGTTAGGCTTATTTTATATTAATTTAGTAAAACAAAGCAGACAACTGGTTTTGCTGCTTTGAATTACACAGTCACATGTGACTCTAATATATCTTTCAGTGGGTAAGGACAAGAGGATTTTTGTACTTTTCCATCAAGACTGCTAGTTGGTTGAAACAACAGCTAAAACCCAAGCACATCAAAACAGATTTTCCCATCAATTTTGGGAGGTGCAGACCCTCACACACTTGTATCACAACTACCCTCTCTTAAGTCCACAACTCTATAAAATGTAGCTGCAGGACGAAAACAGAGGAAAGAAAGATCGTTACTCCAGGTTGATACACAAATTAGGACTAAATGATCTAAATTCTACATAATTTTGTCTACTAGTTTCCATTCCTTTATGGTGAAAGATCATTTTCTCCGATCTGTTTGCAATATTGGTCTCAGAAAGAAACTCCCCTTGGTCAGCATATCCTCACAAAAGAGAAAGACTTTTTTTTCTTGGTTTTCATTACATCTGAGTAGACATTCCTCTTTGCAAAAGCATTAAGAGCATTCATTTTTATCTTATGCATAGCTTCTTTTCATCTAGGCCCTGCTTTCAGCAGCTTTGAGTAAGCCCATCAGGATCAAAACCATACCTGGCCATCAATTCTGCTTGAGACCACCGAGAGTTTGGTAATTATGAAATTCTGTACATATAAATTACTCACTTCCTTTTTAACCTTATGCTCTGCAGCTTGTATCCGTTGTTCCATCTCTTCCTCTAGCTCACTTAGCTGAACTGCTGCTTTCTCCTGAGCTCTAAAATTTAAAAAAAATATTCTCTTAGCAATTGCCCTCTGGTTTGACAGAAACACTGCATAAAACACACCTGCTTACCTCAACTGAAACAAATTAGACAGTCATACATGGAAACACTTTAACATTGCCCAGACCTTGAAACTGATGTGCCTGGGAACCAAAATCCCAAATTATTTTGAAGAGACTGGCAAAATAGTAGCTGACAGATGATGATTAGTCTGAAATACATCATATCTGCATTTTTAAAATTAATTTACAAAGATAAAAGGCCCCTCAGGTTATCCTATGAAGAGACTTCAAAAGGGTAACTGCAGCAACGTGCATCACCAACACACACAAGATCTCTGTTCCGAGCTAATCTGTTCGGTTGTGGCAGTAATTATGTGAGACTGTAAATGCCAAGTAGTTAAAATAGGGAAATACGCTCCTTGAAGCTCAAGAAGCAAAAATATGGTTTCTAAAATGAAAGCATAATGGACATGCATCATAAAACTCAAAGTTGCGGCCAAGGAGGAGGAGTCAAAATGTTTTAAGACATTTAACATAACAATAGAGTCTACAAAAATTTGGTCCAGGACTTATCCAAAGTATGAACATGGAACCCTTCGCAAGCTGCTATATGTGTTTATGTACAAGTGCATGCATGGTTTATTTTGGCATTAACTCTTCGTTTAAGCTAACAAAGCATGATAGACAAAAAAAAGAAACTGCAGAACTGAACTAGAAACTCAACTCACTATACCTTTTTACTGCTATGGCCAAAGTTTCCATCTCTGTGCTTTGAAGTTTGATCTCTCGGATGAAGTTCTTAATTACACGCTCATATGACTGGATTAATCTTGGTTCCGCTATGTGTATGTTCTGATACAGAACACTGACCTGTTCTTGTCTGAAAATGAGAGGAATCATGTTAATGCACTTACTTGGAAAAATGTTCTACAATAGGTTTGAAAAATTTACTGCAAATCAAGATGGAAAACCTCTTTGCCTAGTTTTAAAATTTAGCAAGCTAGATAAGGACTTTGAACATTCAGCACAGTATGTCTCAATTCTTCTACATTACATTTACTTTTCTCACTTCTCTACTTTCATATAGCTACTGTAAAAAAAAAAATAAATTCATAGTTGGAGAATTGCTAACATGTGACAAATTTCATAAATTTCTAGCACTTCAGTAGTTATCCTTCAGAGCTGTAAACTGCTCACCAAAACAGGCAATAAACTATTCCAGAATAGTTTCAAATTTTAGATGGAAGCAGACACTGTTCACATCCAGAAATAGCTGCTGAAGAATGTCACTCGTTCAAAGAGTGTAAATATACACAATGTCTTTTAAGTGAGTTTAATGTAAAATAGAAATAGCACTAGCCACAGTGAAATGGACAGTTTATCAGCCTTGCAAGGCAGATAAATTCAGCACAATCTAAAACAAAAAAAAATTTTAGTCAGCATACAAGATTTTTAGAAATATGAAATACAAACATGATACAAACATCTATGTTCTGCAATTTTCTATTTTCCTTTAAATTTCACCAAAAATATGCTTACTAGTAACATTGTTTCTTAGAAAGCAGGCAAACAGTAGGAAAATTACTTGTTACTTGACCCTAACATAAAAGATCTGTTACTTAAGCAAATGTTTTCGTGACTGTCCTGCAAATCAGGTCACTGACACCATTGGAACTTCAAGGACCTATATAATTATATATAACATATATAACTACATAACACACAGTGTCAATACCAGAGATTTCCTACCACAGAAATTAATAATGGAGTAGCAAAATTGAAGATTCAGTGTCTTACATTGAAGGGGGAAACAATTAGACTGTGCTTACTGTACTTTGTGCCAGGAATAGAATACATTTGCAGTGGAATAGTGCAATGTATTTCCACAACCTTCATTCTCTTCACAAGAATGTCACACCCACAGCCACTCCCTCTTCCAGCTTTCTTCTGAACACTGTCAGAGTATGCAGGGGATGCCACAAAGAAGGCCAAGGCTCACTTGGAATATTAAGGACAAGAAGAGCTTCTACAAGTACATCATCAGCAAAAGGAAAATTAGGGAAAATCTGGGGCTACTGCTGAATCAGATGAGTGCATTCTGGTAACGCAAGACACAGGGAAAGCAGAATTACTGAATGCCGTCTTTGCCTCAGTTCTTACTGCTGAGGCCAGCCCACAGGAATCCCAGACCTTGGAGGTAAGAAAAGGCCGGAGAAAGGAAGAATTCCCCTTGGTCATAGAGGGTTGAGTTAGAGATGGTCTAGGCAGACAGATGCACCCACCAGTGTTGATGGAGTTGATAAGTGTTGTTGCTAAGCCGACCTCCATCATCCTTTAAAAATCACAGAGAACAGGAGAGACCTGATAACTGGTAGAAAGCCAATGTTACTCCCATCTTCAAAAAGGGCCAGAAGGAGGACCGGGGAAACTATACCAATAAGCCTTCACCTCAGTCCCTGGAAAGGTCATGGAACAGATCCTCCCAGAGGTCATCACCATGTTGAAGGAAAGAAGTAGTCAGCATGGATTCAACAAGGGGAAATCCTGCTTGATCAACCTGACAGACTTCTGTGATGGCATGGCAGGACAGGTCAACAAGCATAAAGCAGCGGATGTTGTCTACCTGGACTTCAGCAAGGCTTTTGACACTGTCTCCCACAACTTCCTCATAGGTAAGCTCAGGACATGGGTTAAATGAATAGACAGTGAGGTGGATCAAGAACGGTAGAGCTCAGAGACTGTGACCAGAAGAGTAGAATCCAGTTGGAGGCCTGCAGTCAGTGGTGTTCCCCAAGGATCAGTACTGGTTTGAGTCTTGTTCAACTTGTTTATCAACAACCTGGATCAATGGATGGAATGTAGCCTGAGCAAGTCTGCTGACAATATGAAACTGGGGGGAGTGGCTGATACACCCGAAGGCTATGCTGCCATTCAGTGGGACCTTGAGAGGCTGGAGAGTTGGGCAGAGAGAAACCTAATGAGGTTCAACTGGGCAAGTATAGGGCCCTGCACCTGAGGAAGAATAACCCCAAGTACTAGAACAGGCTGACCTACTGGAGAGCAGCTCTGAGGAGAAGGATCTTTTAGTCTTGGTGGATGACAGGTTGACCACAAACCAGCAGTGAGCCCTTGCAGTCAGGAGGGTCAATGGTATCCTGGGATGCATCAGGAAGAGTGTGGCCAGCAGGTCATGGGAGGTGATCCTGCCCCTCTACTCAGCCCTAGTGAAGCCATATCTGGTGTATTGTGTTCGGTTCTGGGCTCCTCAGTACAAGACAGACAAGGAGCTACTGGAGAGGGTCCAGAAGAAGTCCACAAAGATGATCAGGGTTCTGGAGTATCTCTCTTATGAGGAGAGACTGCAGAAGTTGGGCCTGTTTAGTCTAGAGAAGACTGAGAGGGGATCTCATCAATACCTACAAGTATCTCAAAGGCAGGTGCCAAGAAGATGGTGCCAGATTCTTTTCAGCAGTGCCCAGTGACAGGATGAGGAGTAATGGCCATAAACTAGAAAACAAGTTCCACCTCCATGAGAAAAGACTTCTTTGTGTTGAGAGTGGCAGAGCACTGCAACAGGCTGCCCAGGGAGCTTGTGGAGTCTCCCTCTGTGGAGACATTCAAAATCCATGTGGACATGTAACCTGCTGTAGATGAGGCTGCCTTGGCAGGGGGTTGGACTAGATGATCTCCAGAGGTCCCTTCCAATCCTAACGATTCTGTGATTCTTTTCAAAGTATATGCAAATATACATTCCCAAATTGACGCTAGAAATCAGTATATCAATGCTGCTGAGCCTCTGTCTTACATCTAAATCTGCTTTAAGACGAAGTACTCAGAAGCACAAAGGAGTTACTGAAAGATTTTATTTTCCCCTCTGGGATTAAAAAGAAAACTTTTATATTTCACATTCCTTCTTATTCCAGTGACTAGCTATCACCCAGATGGATTCAAAATATCTCAGTGACCCAGTCTTAGGAAGTACTTAGGTTTAAGAAGTCAAAGAATGACCTGTACAACTAAAACCATGCTGACCATGCTGGCTCCTCGAAAGGGCCTGAAAGGCTTTATTGACCACAGTTGGTCACTGAAACTATCAGTGACACTTATGTGAGTGTTTCTATGGCAAACAAAATTGATGGGACTTTATTTAATCACTTATGCCTTCAGGAAGAAGTAACACACTTTCATGAACTGGGAAGACTGTTATTGATATAGTCACTCCAAGTATCCATGATGAATTAGCAGTAAGCACACTGTTATAATGTTTTATAGACATGCAGGATTTCAGAAGCATGCAGCTATGTACACACTGTATCAACATGCAGTAAGTATTTGATGTTTATTGCTTTCAAATTGCCATTTTCAATCACTCCTCTGTTTTCATATGCTTTGGTGAATACCAGTGACACCACTGCAGCAGGACAGATTAGCTGCAATTAATATTGCCCAATTTGTTTCTTTGTCCCAAGTTCTCCTTAAACACATGGTATTTCTTTCTGTAAATTCATTAGTTCTTCAAAATTAGTTATCAAAAAAGATTTTACAAATGGATTTCACCAAGCTGACTTGAACTTTAAACAGTCTGTCTTTTTGCTGGACAAAAAGGCAACTAGAATGCTCTTACTTCAGTTTCGGGGAAAATAATCTAAAATGCTTGAGTCTGCCCTTCAAAACTGGTCTTCCCTGAAATCCCAAAATAACTTTTCAATGTATTTAGCTGTACCTCTTTAAGTTCCACACTAACAAAACTGTAGACATTCACAAATATTAATGCATAGAAAGAGCATTTTTTAATACACAGCATGAAAGACTGTCACTTTGTTCATCTGGCACTATGGTTACACTACCCACCATGCATGCCTTTCTGCTGCTTCTGCAAAGTACAGATACAATACACTAGTACCCCCAATAAGTATAGCATTCTGGCCACATACTGCTCTGGTAGTACTAAAGTACTTCATCCCAAAGGTTTTATAAAATAAACTGTCTGTAAAATTAGTACTTAGTAACTGTAATTAGTCAATATTTGCCCAACTTCACATGAGTTAACTTAAGTAAAGTTACTGTATTTACATGGTTTCAGAGAGTTCCTGAGAGAATTACATAAAGAAAATAAAACTGGTCTGATTATAAAACAATTTGTAACGGTAGATTTAAAGAAGCACAGTAGAATACAGGAAGAGTAGCAGAAAAGGCAAAAAAAACCCCACATCAAAATCCTCACAACACTGGTCTTAAGAGATATCAGATATTTAGATTATATTAAGTGTCCTAATTTCATTTAACCCCCCACAGCTATATGAATCCTTATTAATTAATAGAATTATTTTTGGTTTGCTGATCATACAGTGACCATTTGCCTAATGATCCAAACTCCAAATGTTGCTCAGAGGGAGTTGATGGAATTTTTCAACAAATAACAACTCTACAGTTGTTCTGTATCTTACATGTGCCCCCTATGTATTTAGCAGAGAGCATGCCATGTTACATGGGCCCCCCCTTAGTCTGACCCTAAGGGTAGTATTTGGTTTTAGAACACTATTCTAATGACCTCTTCCTAGTGGAGGTCAGCTTGTAAAATTTCTCTTATCACTTGTAGCAGCTCTGTTGTGGTATGGACATGAAGAGGTGCAGTATAAGGTGGTCTGAGCAAGGAATGTCTGAGCTGGGTGTTCGGTGGAAAAGAAAGATCAAGTATTATGCACCTGATGATTGTCCTCACTCTGGAGACCAATCACCTGTGTGTGCCACCAAGAGATAGAGAAGTACCTTTTTCTAAAAAGCAGACACATTGCATATGCCACTCTGCATCAGCAACCAGAAAAGAACAACCATATCTGTTACAGAATGGATAGGATCTGATTTTGTCACAGCTGAGTA